TCTCCTTGCTTCCCTGGTGGGAGGGACTAGTCGCAGGGAAACGACGCAAGTGAGGGACGCAAGGAATCCATTTAACCAACCTGAGATGCAGCCTCTCACTCCTGCACACACCTGTTTTTAAGCATGTTTTAAGCATGTTTTAAGCATGTTTTCAGTGTGTTTTAAGCATGTTTTAAGCATGTTTTAAGCATGTTTTAAGTGTGTTTTAAGCATGTTTTAAGCATGTAAGTGTGTTTTAAGCATGTTTTAAGCATGTTTTAAGCGTGTTTTCAGTGTGTTTTCAGTGTGTTTTAAGTGTGTTTTACTGTAAGTGTGTTTTAAGTGTGTTTTAAGTGTGTTCCTCTCACCTGGCACTTGATGCCGGCCTGGCTGCAGCCGCAGTGTTTCGGGTCGCAGTACAGCCGGCAGTCGCAGCCGCACTCCTCCCTGGAGAGGCGGATGTTCCTCAGCTCGGCCTTCTCTCGGGCGTCGATGCGAGCGACGCCGGACGCCCTCAGCAGGGCGCGGCGCCGCTTGGTGGGCAGCGGCTGCAGGAAGAAGCAGTCGTCCACCTCCACGCCGTCCACGTCCAGGTCCTCGTCCGACACGTCCTCCAGCGTCAGGAGGTCGGCCTGAGCGCACTGCACCGTGCCGTTCCTCGTCAGCTGCAGGACACGGGAAGGGAAGGGGGGAGGAGCCAAGTAGAGTTTAAGTGACTGTTGTTTTGTAAATATTGATTGTCGTGTTTTTATTCTTGTCCTAATGTGTGCAGATGCAGATGTCAGCTGCAGACGACAGGAAGTGAAGGAGTGAGGAGATATTTAAAGCTGGAGAGCAGGAGGATTATCCTGAGGACTGAGGCGTCAGAAACAGCTTCTACTGAACAGCCATGTCACTTCATTTGAGATGATTTAGAGGAAGAGGAGGAGGAGGAAGAGGAGGAGGAGAGGAAGAGGAGGAGGAAGAGGAAAGAGTTTGAATAGCACCATTTTTCGGCATTTTATCTAAAAATTGATTATTCAATGTGTTTTAAGTGTGTTTTAATAGTTTTCTGAGTGTTCTCTGAGTGTTTTCTGAGTGTTTTCTGTGTTCTAGGCGCCCCCCCACACACCTTCATCTTGCGCTGCTGCAGCTTCTCGAGGCGGAGGTGCTGCTGCAGGGTGAGGCGGTGTTTGCTCTCTCTCTCTCTGGAGAACTCCCCCAGGGTGAAGCTCCTGATGGAGGAGTGGTGCCTGGCCATGCCCAGAGAGCTGCCCCCCTGGCTGGGGACGCTGGTGAAGCCCTGCCGCCGCGGGAAGTAATACACCGTCACCGCGTCGAACCTCACCCGCTTCCCCCCCGCCGAGACGCGCTGCGGACGGAGGATGGAGGCCGCTGAGAGGGAGAGAGAGGGGAGAGAGGAGAGAGAGAGGGGAGAAAGAGGAGAGAGAGAGGGGGGAGAGAGGAGATAGAGGGGAGGAGAGGGGGGGGAGAGAGGGAGGAGAGAGAGATTTAAGTGTGTT